CGTTGAAACTTGGAAGCCCAAGGAGTTGGCTGGGAACATTGATGGTAGTTAACATAGAAGACTAAGCCGTGATGAAGGCTCTGAACACTTTTTTCTCTCAATAATCGCCTTTACTAATAACATTCGATGTTCTATTCGGAAACAGCGAAGATGGTATACAGAAAAAACGCTTTCAATTCGTAGCTAATACTAAGGGTGTAGAGCTTTCAAAGAAAGAGGAGAATCCAAAGTGTTATTTACGCATAGCAAATTTCTCACAGGGAGGAGGAGCGCCCGGCGTTAGCCGGGCGACCCGACTGTTTAATACATATGGATGGAACAGCATCCATTTAACAAAGTTGGACGCTTTGAGAAACACGAACCATGACATAAGCGCGACTTAAGTTAAGGGTGCTAATGAGAATTCGCATCCGGAATACGTGATCAATGAAACCGTTGAAAAAGACGCAACGAGACCGGGAAAGAGGTGGGTGGAGGTGGAAATCTGCTGATGGAATCCAAAGTGGAGGTATGGAGGTTGACAGCGGCTTTTTCGGACTGTTGAAGTACAAAAAATTCCAACATTAATAACCTGAGTCAGCATATGCCACAGTTAGAGGTCACAGAAATCGAGGGGTCATAGTTTGAAATTTGAAAAAAAAGAATTTCTTTTTCAAACATTCCGTGCTACTAGTACTACATAGTACTAGCAAGCTCTTTTATTCTAAAGTTTATATGAAATTATCAAGCGTGTAAGGGTTGGTTGTTCTATTTAGGCATTAATCACTGATATATATAAAAGCGTAACAAGCCTCAACAGACCATAAATAATTAATAACAAGAAGCGCAAACCTCTACTAGAAGAGTCTCCAGCTGTGTGTGGCCATAGGTACCAGTCAGCTCGAGGATGTTGTTGGCGAAGGCCAGCAAATTGAATAGAAGAAACTCCGACGTTATCGCTACTAGCATTACCGTAACCCCATTTTCTTTCCGATCTGGAATTTTTCTCATTACTCACTTGCCAGGGTATACAATACAAAGTCTTCATTTTACAACAAAACTGCAGGGACATTAAGGTCTTATATGAGATGTATGCGGCCCAATAGATCGTGCTTTTCACGCATCGTAACTGCTGAGGTGTTAATGGGTTCGCACGATGGGCTCAAATGAAAAAAAACGATTTTTACATTACAAATAAGAAACATTTTCTCACAAATTGGAAGGTCCCAGGCTGTTTCAATATNTAAGACGCTATTCCGGGAATTGCTAAAAATTAAGCATTACATGCCCGGTCTGGATTATCGACACCCTATCCGGTCAGTATACACAGTATACAATGTTGTTCAAGGTTTCCTTCAAGCATCTCATTGGTGGTTTCCCTTTTTATGTTACACCAAGACCAAAAACCTACTCGCTCTCATAAACGCCAAAACGTCAAAGGCATAGATTAATGATCTGAGAGAACATGTGTGCTTCACTAATTCGAAAAACTCACCGTTACTGACGTGCGCGGGACCACTGGCAGTAACGGAGGTCGTCGCAACGGCATTCGACGCAGAGTGGGAGATAGATACTGTATCGACGGTGACTGTCGCACTCTCACGAGCTTTCCGCGGATGCCTCGTCATCAACCGGCGCATTCTGAAAAATTCCAACTTGTATTACGGACATATGATAAAGCAACACTACTGCCGAACGACAGGATTCAGAAAGGGGGAAGCAGAATATGTATGCCATTGTACTTTGTAATATTATATTTACTCCAGAAGGGCATTCAAGAAGTGCAGAGGGACTTACAAGATGACCTAAGCAATACTAATTGATGTGTATGGCTTGATGTGGACAGACCTTCTACCGGAAACGTTTCATATCGTAGCACTTCTCAGAATTGCTACCACCCCCACATCCTATGGCCATCAAGATGGGATAACATGTTGCGGTCAGAATATGTACTTACATCTCACTCTTAGAAATCAAGGGTAAACCTCATAACCAAGGGTTGAATGCTTCATCAAATGGAACCGAGAAGCGAAATCTGAGTTAGAAGAAAATCGGAAATTCATGTACTATACGAACTGAGAGGGGGTATGCCCACAACCGAGATTTCCTTCTCCATGACAGAAAAGAAAAAAAGCGCGGGTTGGACGATCCGTTCAGTTTTCTAGAATATTATGAAAGTTGAAGGACACTTTTGTCGACGGTAAGTAGGCGGCGATGTGACTGTGTCAGCGCTGAACAGATAAGGATCTTGACATAGGGAGATACTATATGGAGAGCAAGTCCCTGGCGACTAACAGTCGTACATTACTTACATTTTGGGTTGAAGCTTTGTTTTTCTTTTCAGCTTGTTGGATTAATCGCAGCACTGACAGAAGAGTTTAGTGCCTCGTTAATCTTGATCTAACGGAAGTGGTTCCTTGGAAGATAGAGGTGGGCAATCCGGCTTATCGAATAAGAACATTTTCTTCGAAGATTTGAAATTTGGAAAGGTACACTACTTGTTCGAATATTTAAACTTCCTGAGCTGGCCGACATTATTTTATTTCCGCAGTGATAACTTCATGCACAACCTCTATATCGTTATCGAGGTTGAATTCAGAAAGCTCAAGCGTTTACTGGCTTGGCTAGTGGCTTACCGATATGAGCTCCTAAGTGTACCAATGATCTGCAGATTGACGAACGTGAGGATAGCGAATGGCAGGAAGAACATCACCACAGTGTAAGCAGCATTACGATACACCACCGTGTACACACTGTCCACCATCAAGTCCGTCGGGTAGACCACTAATGACTCCCTAAACAAGCAGAGGTCACTAACTTGTACCTTTAACATGAAAGTCATTGATATTGTTTGGTGTCCAGTATCACATCCTTGGCAGGCGCCGAGTCGCTCAGAAGTGTTCGTCTGCGTTTAGACTGGTTGTCGTTTCATGAGAACCCGTTCTAGTGGAGGCAGAAGGTGCACTACGAGGATACGGGATAGAAGAGCTTGTGATTAGATAAAACTTGTAATAGCTGCACTGCTGTACATGATACTACGTCCTGACAACTTGACGCAAATCAAATGTTCATTTCAGGTCTACGTCCAAGTCTTTAAACTAACACTTCGTAAACTCTCATGTATTTTTGTTGCTCGAGGAGAACCTCTTTCGCTCTTAACAGTCTCAGAACTACCGATAGTAATACTCAAATTGATCCTATAGAGCTTCTCTTGTAAACCATGTCGCAAGGGTCTAGCGATCAACCCTGAGCAATTCTCTTCTCCAACTGGCGCCGCTGCTACTCCGCTCGTTCCACTTCCCTAAACATCAGCACCGCACTCGACTCACAAGCTATGCGACTATCAGAAGCTTGTTTATTTCAAAGTTGGGGCGCTCGACGACGATATTCTCTCCTACCATTACCTGCTTTTGCTGTTAGCCCGACTTTCAAGCGAAGTAAAGAAACCCAAAAGGCAATCACGACTACCATCTTTAGCAGTCAAATGCAGGAAGTCACTTGACAGCTTGTAGGAAGGTTACCAAGGATTTTTGTCAGGCCTTCCACGTGATCGCTCGACCTCACATCGCAAGAACCAATTCAAGTCACGGGAGCTTGGCCACTACAATACCCTCACACATCCTCCCTAGCCCGCGACCCCGTCTCTTCTCACTATCATACTTTTAGTCACCGGGAGCAGCCTATCGCTGAGAAGTAGATCGCCATTTTTGAAGAAATCAAATATGCTTTGGCCGACTTCTTCGACTCACAGTCCCTTTTTCTGAGAGAATGAGAACGTATTAGCCGAATGAATTGCCCGTAGGATGAATGAAATAGATAATTATAATGATTGCACATTGTGTTTTAATGACTTGGTGTGACTTAATTGGTGAAAATTTGGATGAAGTTGTCATGGTATCGAAATCCGAGTATCTCAAGACTTTTACATCAATGTAATTCTAATATGATCATATGTTCCAGATCCTGTACTAACTCCGAGTAGATAGATGTAGACAATTGAATTGACAACTTCAGGTGCCGTTTGCTCCTGCCATCATTATGTATTCAATAGAAAAGTCAAATTGGAAGTAAACCACAATACCCCTCAAATCTTATAATGCCTAAAGTCGTTTACAGAATCTATCAATAACTGCGTAAGTTTCGAGGGGGATCCTTCGATTCTTCCGCTTGGAAAAATATTTTTCCATCCCATCCTTCGATTTCACAAGTATGGAGAATGAATTTCGGTGCATGAAAAGTTAATGCGGGCTCTTTTCAGTTTCGAACTGGGAAAGATCTTTTCGGAGAGAGGTTGCTGAAGGATCTTTGCAGAATACGCTCTCCCGAAGAGATAGCGCCTGAGGGTATTCCATTGAAGCTATTGAAGATCCTTTCGAAGTATGTTATAGTGACTGAGTGGTTTTTTTAACGATTACCTTGCGAAAAAGGGGAAAGAAGTCTAAATAGCATCAAACAGTCATTGGTTGAGCTCTACCGCCTCGCATGATGCCGAAAATCGAGTGTTAAAAGTGGTAAAGCGACACCCCAATTTTTCGTTATTGCTGGTTATTTGATTTTATTCGTCGTAGCGGCACTGTCTGACTCATCTCTTCCAATAACCGGCATGAGCACCGAATATCATCGAATCATCAAATTACCTGTCATGTCGTTTCGAGTAACAAGGCACCGCTTGCAGTTCAAACCACCGGCTTGTGTTGAATAAGAAGGCAAAGACGACAGCAAAAACAATAACACCTTTCACTGCCGACGAATTAGAAACTCGCTGGATCTGAAAACAGCAAGCTCTTGATGATGAGTACTCCTTACCGTAACCTCTCTTAACAAATGCTTGAGAGCTAAAATCTTTCTAACCCAAACTTCTGTTTGATTCAAAATGGAAGGAATCACATCGCTGGAGCAGCAAATCCAACTGTAATAGAGTTTCAACAGCCCACTCAGTGTGCGTATGAGTAAGCATATGTATAGGTCCATGATAACGGCTCATACGCCTTTCTGAAGAATTTACAGCGTTTTCCCTTCTACATCCAATGTTTCCCTGTTTCGAATTACAGAGAGGTTAGAGAAGTTGTAAGTAGAAGCAGAACAGAAAGGAATGAGAGCTTGAAAGAACCAGAAGGATCGGAAGGAAAAACAGGAGCAACTAGAAGTTGAAACGAGGATGCGGACACCGAAAAAAGCAAAAAAGGGGAAAAGGTAAGTGAGTATCGGGAAAAGGGCTACAAGAACAACAGAGACAAGCATCTTGTAAATTATTATTAGGCTTACAATTAGACAAATCATATTTGGCGACAACGATTTGCCAAATTTATTTCACGTCTCTTCGAAATCGAAAACTGATCGCAGAATTTCTTCTTAACTACAAGAAATGAGAATAAAGCGTTGGGTAATGTCACGAAGGAAGAAATGTCGGAATAGAGTTGTCGTGAGGAATTGGAGATACAATCAGGGATGATAGATCTGTGCGTCAAGTAGGAATCTTCTGGGAAGAAGTGATATTCCACTTTGTCACGTCCATGAATTGATCAAGAAAAGAAAAACTCTTTCTAGTACGTTCTTCGCTGTCGAGGATGCCCTCTTGAGACAGCCAAGCCTGGTAAACTAAGCCGCTGCCCTACTTCCCCTTATCTATGCCAACTTGCTGAGCAACTGAGCAACTGAGGAAAGCACGTCGGCACGTCGAATGCTCCACGGGCGACCGAGTTGTTTTCAGATTTCCAGGTTTTTTGGTTTCACAAATGACCCTTTATTAGCATCAGCCCATCCACTACTTTGCAAATACATTACGCTACAATCTTGCATCAAACCTTTTCAATCATACATATGCCCAGCCACCGCCGCCTAGGCCTTCAAGTACTAGGAGGGTGCTAAGGTTTCATCTTCTTTGAAGAAATTCGATAGAAATCCAGCCTTTTCTCGACAAAGTGGGGCAGTAAAGGGTTAATAGAGCCCAAATGCTTCCGAGAGAGCAAAACTGTGCTCTTGCAGGGCTTCTAGTTGAAGATATATTTTCGTCGAGATATGTCGAGAAAAGTGGATTGTACGTCTGGTTCTGCTATTTTGAGTTCATAACTACCTTCAGGAACACCCTTTTGCAAAATGGATGATTTGAAAAGCATCTCATTTCTATAATTTTATGAGAATACATGTCTATGTACCTTACAAAGGATCGAACATCACGGTGCAAATTGCTTCTCGGATTTTTCAAAAAAGAAGTAACCGCGTCTCGCGGAACTTCCGTTGGTCAAGCCAAGCTGCTATGGGCAATGTCGATGCGATTATTCGAATTATTTTTGAAAGAGTCTTTCTAGGACTTTCTTACTCAGACAGAAGACAAAAAAATCGGAATCGTACGAATTAACTCTGGAACACGCTAAGAATTAGGCACTCGAAAGGTTGTCAACGACTCTCACATTGTCCCCTTCAATGCAGACGTGCTGACCAGAGCTCAGCACACCTCCGTCCTTCTTTCCCCTCCTCTAGCGGGAATGGAAAAGATCCACAAATAAATGTTTATACAACAGACCTCTATTCAAAGACTTTTTATATTAGGTGCCCTCTGTTCGCAGTGTAAAACATTTCACTGAGTGAAAAAATCATATAAGTAATCCACAAAGCCAAACTTTTCAGCACCTTATAAATATGAACTTGCCGAGATCGAGCGGAACCGCTGAGTTACGAATTTTACACTCTTGCAAGTTAATCATGCCTTTCAATGCTGTGTAAAACCTAAAACTAACCATGAAGGGATGGCACACTCCCATGAATCGATGCACTGAGACCAGCATGGTGAGGTAAACGGACATAGTGAGACCAGTCTGCGCCAGTGGGTAAAACCATACAATCAGTACGGCGGAACTTCGTGCAATGTCTGGAAAAGGTAGTAGAAAATCCCAAAAGGAAAATGACTATTTGGCAATGGCAATGTCTACGGTTCTTACCGACATCATCGGACACTTCTGCGTACACTGGTACGGAGAACACAAAGAATGATGCGATGAGGACGGCTAGATCACTTAGCGAAAGCACCAAGAAGAACCAGTTGACCGGCTGATTGCGCATCTTAAGCATATATGTGTTGTAGACCTTATATCAGCAGTTTTGTGCATATGCCGGCCACTGTACGGCTCAAATGTTGTTAACTCGACTTCAACACATTCACCCTCCAGAAACGTCTTGTTCGGACATTAGAAACAATTGAAAAAACCTACGCTCTTGTGCAAGAATACGACAATATTGATAGAGTTGGCAAAAATGCCAAACAGGTAGGTGATAGGCATCAGATAAGCTCGAAACAGAAATTGAATGCTTGTGAAGGAATCAGCAGGAGAGGAGTCGCACACGTCCAGCGAGTCATCCAACAACTCTCCAACACTCATACGCTCCTAAAAGTGATATTTTCATCAGATCTCTGAGATTGGGTATGGAGATCGAGCTGTTGCGATCGAAAAAAAAGAGCACAGCAACAATCAGGCGAGGGAAACACTGCGAGAATACGAAAAGAAACGAAATGAGCATAAAACAATGTTTCGGAACTACCCATTATGAGTTACGTTCACTGGTGTTGTGTGGTCGGTATTTTTTTGATCCGGAAGAATTTGATTCCTCTCACTTTGGATACTTGGTAAGGTTCCTAAACTCTCTAGACGCGCTCAGAAAACATGGGAGAAAAACCTCCCGCGAAAAAGAGGAGGGAGAAAGGAAACAGGAGAAAGCTTCCGTCCACATCAGAGGAGAAGTCGTCTGAAGCTTTAGAGGTGAAACTTCGAGGGATTCAATGCGGCAAGTTTTTTTCGAGATCTGTGCTTTTCGACTTTAAAAACAGAAAAAAAAACGTTGAAGAGTTGAAAAAAATATGGATAGAGCAGAAAAAGGACGCTATTTCTATAGTGAGCAAAGCGAGGCCGACTTTCCTTTGAATTAAGCTTTCTAGGTGTTTTTTCAACGACACCACTGTTGATGGGAAGTCTCTATCTTTCACGTTCCATCGAGAAAAGAAAGGCAACACATAAACAAGCAGACCAAATCAAAAAACATTTTTGTGGAATTAGTGGTAGTACAATTTTTATGTTCTGAAGACATAGATCATAGCTAGCCGTCAATGATGACTAAGTTCCCTTATCAACACTGTTAATGCGGAATGAAAAGGCTAAAGACCGGAAGCGGACGAAAATTTGCAGGCTGATGATGACAGCGACTGCAATCCGTTTGACGACGTCAATCGAGAACCCACGCCATCTCTAGTTCCACCTGTCAGTACGGATTTCTCAGTACAAATGCTTTGCAAAGTTGGAGAGGTACGAGTCTAGGGAAAACAGGTGAGCTTCTTTTTTCGGCTCATAGGATTTGAATTTTGAATGAGTTCGCCTTGTAACGAAGAATTTTCAGAGTTCAAAAACATTCCGACGGGATGGCTAAAATCAGATTTGTGACGTTTGAGTTGCCATTGTAAATACCTAAGGAAATTGGAAGAAAAGCTATTTACATCAATCTTTGGTCCCCATCATAAAGAGAATTCAAGAGCGACGAAGAAAACATAATAGCGATTTCTTTTTTGGCAAAACTTAGAAAAATGCTATTAAATGTCGAATGTGTTTGTCATTGACATTAAAGTGAGATATTTTGCAATGAAAACGATCTCAAAACAGAAGTATCCGTCAAAAAAGTTAGTCCTCGCTCAAAGTTTGGTGCCATGTCTGATGCTGAAGATGCCATGTGGAATATAACAGCATGCCAATTCGTAAACTAATTTTCCATCCATGATTTTTTTTCATGACAATTCGGTCTGATTGGCGATGCTGTGAACAACACCATTGCCAATTAGCAACACTAAGGCGAGTGCTGCTAATTTGCAGTGAACAGCTTCTGAGATACAAAAAACGAAGACTAACGAAGGAACACCCTCAAATGGAGCGATTGACTTACATTTGTACGTCGTAGTGCAAGATGGGTGGGGTGAATGAAATAATGTGGGATATGCTCCTGCAGAAGGAAGTGATTTGAAGTTTCCGGACGTTGAGCACTTCAATCCGAGCGTTAATTCAGTAGGAATTGCTCGACCTAGAAGGGCATGAAGCATCGCCCACTCTCTCTCCCCCCCCCCCCCCCCCCCCCCCCCCCCGCCCCTGCCCTTTCCCTTCCCCGTTCCTTGCTTTAATTTCGAGTGCTCCTCACATTTGATCGTTCAACCTGCTCTATGTACATGCACCATTATAATTTGCATCACATTCTCAACGCATGAGAACCATGCAGTGCTTTCCACTTATAACTGGATGTGTCGATGATCATCGAAAGATGTGATAGGGGTTTAATCTAATTATTTGTTAACATTCTAATCTAACATCAATTTAACATCTAACAGGCGGAGAAGGTGTAGTGGCAAGTGGGGTACTACCTCACACGCACGGTCAGGGGGTCGAATCCCGGATCGATGCCCGCCTAGGCCAATCAAGCCTTCCATCCCTCCGGGGTCGGTGAATTGGTACCAGAATCGTCTGGGAGGATAAAAGCACTGACTTGTACACCGGCTGACCACCGCAAGTCATTGTATAGGCCACATACGCACTCATTACGCCACTACGATTCTGAATGGAAGTCGAATGTTTTGCTCATCCCACAGACGGGATTGATTATGCCAAAAAACTTTGCCCTTTTATTCTTTATTTGTTTACATTATGTTTCTTCTCGAGACTATGGTCCGCAGGGCAGTGGAAGTGATCATCTTTTAGCACGATGAGGATTCCACGAGATGGATGGGGAGTACTTTGTAACCAAAAACAGTTCTCTGATGAGCAAATCCTAATTATCGAAAAGGATAGTAGGTACACATGTACATTCATAGTACGTAGTAGTTTCCTATCATCGTAAAGCACTGTGGGATAGCTTTGGAAAATTTAGTGAGAATGCGAATAGAATATGAAAATCGATTGAATCTTCGAAAGTAGGAAGTGTGTCAAATTGTGAGCATCGCTTCCGCAGTAGAAAACTGCCTTTCAGTCGAATGGACTTGTTGCAAGCATCCGGCGCAAAGATCAGATCTTTGCCTGACTAGCACTCGGCAAAACATCGCGTTTTAGAGATCGTCATATGTAGTTACCTCTGAAATTTGAGATCTTTTTCGAAAGTTGAGACCCTTTTTTGAAAAAACGGGTTGTCGCCCATGAAAGTCAGCGCTCAAAAAAGTTATCCAGCTGATCGGCTTTGCTAGGACATGTCATTACTCGGGTAATTTTTAGATTTTAAAAATTTTGAGTGTGCTTTGTTTAACAAGTGCAAGGAGTTGCAAACTTTGGCTGCACATATGGGAAACTGGTCTCAGTTGTACCAAAAGGGAAACATACCTTCATAACCAGGGAAGGAGGACCGTAAAATGTAAGATGATTCGATCAATTTTTGATTGTTCCGATGAACTGTCCTTCCATTCACTTTGATGTGTGAAGGAGTTCCCGGACTGTAGAGAGGCCAGATTACTGTAGCTGATTGATAATAAAGAGATAAGAGTATTATTCTACCAAATATGTAGTCACTCAGAAATTCGCTTTAAGCCATGCAATCAATTTTGACCGATGAAAGAGCGAGCAAAAGAAGAAAAGCCCTGCTTGGAACTACTTCAAGAGAGAGAACAGCAGAGAGAGCATCTAATTGAGGAAATCCCAAATATATGCAGCACAAAAAGGTGTGCTTTGAAGCGGGAGGAGGGGAGGCATATCGCCGTCTCTTGGTTTCCCTTAGTCCAGATTACTGGCAGGTGCTTCTGACAGCCACTTATAGGATTGAGAGTGCCGTTCATGGTTAATTGTCGTAATGAAAAGCACTCAAAAAGTCCAAGGAAAAGGAAGGGGAGGCACCTACTTTGCATTTTTCTCAACTTTTGCAGAAGCATAGATCACGTGCTATGGGTATGTAGTCATATACAAAGTTACACTAGTTGTTCTGGTACCAGTGTGTTTGAAGGAGTAATCCTGATCAAGCACCCTCCAAATCTAATGACAAACAGCATCTAGGGTCAGAGANTTCGTCAAGTGCGCACTTTTTTACTCTCATTCACTGCGCGCCTCCCTCCAAAATGCTAAGTCACAAAATAGTAGGAGCTACTAGTACAGCTCGTACACCTTTCAAATCGCAGAGTTCCTGTTTATCTGCAAATTTCTTTTCTTTAGTCACTGGCAGAATGCATACCAAACCACTCCATTTATTCAACGCCATGGTCAAAGCTGCGGTGGTACAATAGTTTCAAGAAACTGGCTGTGGGCCCATTAGAGTAACGGAGGAAATTAATTTTCACCCTATTGTTTTCGGAAAACGATAGCAGTTGAAATCCCAAAATTTTAGTCCAGGAAAAGGGTGTAAGGTGGAGTGGGAACAGAATAGGGGAGTGGAAAGGTGTGCGGAGAAATGCGTGGGAGCTCTGTGTTCCACACTCACACGCGCACTAATTTCTGCCATCAGACGAGGGAAACGTTTAGCATTGATAATTTGGATTAATTGATTTCGCGGATGCTGTGGGTGGCCCTTTTCCGATGGCGAAGTTTTTCAGTGTGAAAAGAAAGGTCGCATGAATCTATAGAGAATATAAAACGGGAGAGTTTCCTGCCTGAAGTAGCGATGTCTGCATCCCAAGTGCACGTGAACAGGGTCTCAGGCAATCAGCGCACTAGGCAGCTGATCGGTTACATGCAGTTAGAAACTGGCAATTCCCATTGCTGTCGTTGGGCAAATGCGTCAATGACCATTTTCTCTACAATATCCCGGATGAAAGGGTTTTTTACTCAGTGTTGGTCTCGTTCAATTATCAGTCATATGTTGAGAACGTTCCCAAAAGAAGTGCATGTAATGGGTCCCATCAATTGCTGCAGGAAGCTGCGAAATGTCATCAGTAATTGTTTGGTCAATGATCCTTTTAATATTCCGCTCCACCATTACCACGCTTGTGGTTGAAGGCACCAACATCACACAATGGCATCGAAGTGGGAGCGTGAAGAGATAGAGCAAACGTTTGCATTTCGCTGGCACTTAATTTAGTGCACTTGAAGTTCTAAACGAAACAAGATTTGAGATTTTAATATCCCGTGACCACGTGAATCTTTTATTTTTAATTACCCCACTAGAAACGGTTGCTTGGCATTCAGTACGAATCACAGGTTCAAGTACAAAATCTTTCTACTTCTGCAAAAGTTCTGCAGGGAGAGTTAATTTCTGAGTACAACTTTTTTTTACAACCCTGAGGTCGTCATCACAGACGCACGTCACGGGTTCGAATCGCGGACCGATATCCACCTAGGCCATCCAAGCCTCCCTTCCTCTGGGGTCGGTTAACTGGTACCACACTCGTCTGGGAGGATAAAGCACTGACTTATTCATCGGCTGGCCACCGCAAGTCATTGTA